GAAACCCCCACTCCTAAGACTACCTTAATTTCTTTAATTTCCTCTTTCTGGCTATAGAATATTTCATTAAACTCTTAACTCCAGCCAGGCTTTCTGAAAACTGGAAATGAGATATTTTGAGTTGGGTGCCCCAAATTAGTGGACACTTGAAAATCTTAATGTGTCTGTCTCTTCTCCCTGTTGTTCCTTTTTTTTTAAAAAAAGAAGAAGATAGCATCTTATACTGTGCTTACATTTAATGTGTGAAAAGCTGCCTGAGATCTCAGTCTGGGGAAAAAAAAAAAGGCTTTGTTCAGTTAGGGGGAGGGAGGAAGCTATTTTTATTATCTCTGGTTTCTCTCTTTTTTGGTTCTCTTCATCTCTCCCCCGTTTTCATCTTCCAGGTGGTGTTGGGTATGCCTGGTGGCACACTCTCACCCTTGCAAAGATGTGAATCTGAACAAGTAAGTCACTCTGGGGCAATGCTGAAGAGCTGTTCCACCAGTGATGATCATGTCCTGTACAATCTCTTACGTTCAGGCTTTATTTTAAAATGTTTTATTTTCCCATGCTATTGTCATTTCTCTTACCATTATGTGATTAAAACATACCACTGAGATTTGTAAATTATGTGCTGATTTGAAATCAGGCCTTGCTGCTTCATTGGCAACGCTCAGAGTACAAAATGGGTTGTACTGGTGAAAAACCCTAAGAAACTTGTCGTTGCCTTGTTGTGTTCCCACCTGTGTTCATCCTTCAGTAGTCCTGAAGCCAGTTCCATCAGGGAAAAGAAAGATTATTTTAGGGATAAAGTTTAAATCAAATTTTCTTAGCAATGTGTTATAAATGAAATTGTTGTTTACAGAAAGTTCTTCCTTCTTTACGCATGTGGAATAATAAAACCTGAATTTGTCCCACTGTTTCCATTCATTTCCATGATATAATTTCAAACTTTTTACTGATGCTGGAAATGTCTTGGAAGTGAAGGGAGTGTGTTAATCACATGGAAGACTTGTGAAAAGAATTAAATCACTGAAAAACTGATAAGCCAGAGTCTGTGGGCAGCTTTCACAGTGTTTTGATAAAACTATGTTTAGAAGAAAAATATATAGAGAAACTAAAAGCGTTGGCAGTTGTTGCATATCAACTTCATTTGGAATTTATTCTCTGTATCGTAATAAGCAACGCAGCTGTTGCAAGGAATTACTGTAATTACTGCTTTTTAAGTAAGTTGCCTGGAAAGGCAAATTGGGAGAACCCACCTGGAT